ATTTATTTGGGTTGAGTTTCATGTTGAAAGCTTTGCATATATTGAAAACTTTGGACAGATTTTTTATGTAGTGTGATTCGCTACAACCAATTACGATTTTATCGTCGACGTAAAGAAATGCCACATTGGGCGGAATACCGGAAAAAGCAATTGTCATCATTCGTGAGAATGAGTTTGGTGCTACGTTTAAACCAAACTGTAATACTTTCCACCTAAATTCTCCTCGGTCGATGCTAAAGGATGTTACGTAACGTGAGTCAACATGCAAAGGGATTTGGTGAAATCCGGAAAAGAGGTCTAAAGTTTGAAAAATACTTCTCTCGACCAAGGTTGTCTAAAATGTCATCTATTCGCGCAGGAGGGAACTTATCGGCAATCAATTTCTTATTAACAGCATGGAAGTCTACGCACATGCGGAACGATCAGTTTTGCCTTTCAATTTCCTCACACACATTGCTTGTCAAAAATCATAAATATTTAAAGCTATTACGTAGGCTGCATTCAATTTGAGAAGCAATTTCCTTATCAACATGCCGTCTTCAAGAAAACAATGTAACTAACTAGCTGCTGAATACCATTTTCCATTTTAATTCCATTGTAGATTAGCATTTTAGCATGCATTAGCTTAGTATTTTTTTATTTTCACAAAATTCGCACACCAATGCTGAAAAGCTGATCAAAATTGAGAGCAAAAATAAAAAATAAATAAGAGTGTGAGTAGTTGAAAATTGAAAGGGGAAAATTGAATGTGTAACGGCCCGGTAACTTGGTAACTTGACGGTTTATTTCTTCATGCTGGGGGTATTGTAAGCGGTAATTTTTAATGTAAACTGGGTTACTGTGTCCAATCTTAATTTTTGTTCTTAAAAGTTGTTCAGTGTCATTTTGTCATCTGGAAGTGCAAATATATCTGCGTAATCTACGCACAAGTTGAACAATTCGCTTTTAGCGTAACTAAGAATTGGTTTTTTCAAAGTCTTAATCAGTTCTTTTGTCCGGATGTCATCGTTTCTTGTCTTATTAATGGAATACACATTGAAATTAGAGAGTTTTTCAGTCCGCATGTTACACTTCTTTACGTATTTTATGTCACTTGTGGTATTTATGACTTTGACAATTGGGTTGCTTGTTTGGTGGTTCTTGTGATTCCACAAAAAATGGTTCCGGTGAACTTCCTAAATTAAAAAGTGGAAAATCTTCGCAGCTGGGTGGAATTACGCAGTTCCGTGAAGAATCGGAATCGCGACGTTTTGCTACCTACCCAGAAAGAAATGCTATTGCTTGCATAGCTGATAACGCATTTATTGACTTTCAAGAAGTCCTTACCCAATATACTGTTTTCCAGTAATTCCCAGTTCTACAAGTTTTCTAATCATTATTTCCAGATTAACCGAGTCGAATGCCTTAGACAATTCAATCGCCAGACAAGATACATATATTTTTTGTCAAGATTTTCGTATATGAATTCAGTACACGATAAACACGCTGATAATGTTCCCAAGTTTTCTACAAATCCAAATTGGTTTTTGTTTATTATTTGGATATGTTTTAGAAAGGATTTCAATCGATTTAAAATAACGCTTTCAAATATTTTATCGATAGTGCTTAGCTTTGTTATTGGTCGGTAGTTTGAAGGAATTTCTTTTCTTCCCGCTTTGTGGACTGGAACCAATTCTCAATTGCTCTGGGTATTGACCAACTCGGAAACATTCATTGATGAATTTGGATAATAGTTCAGCTAGAAAGTCTTTATATTTCAAAATAAATTAGGGAATTTCGAGAAGGGAATTTTTTTTCACAGTAAATGGTTGTAAATATTTTAGTCTTCTAAGACGAAACCAAACAAGTCTAGTACATGGTATACATATGTATTGAAAATATGTACATATAATGAATGCAATTTTACTTCGAAGTAAAATGCATAATGGCATATGTACTTACGTTTATGGTATTTCTCTCCCCTACCCCAAAACTGAAAATTAATCTATATGTATGTATGTATGTTGCGTTAATATTATTAAATGTTTTTATTTAGGTAATAAATTCAACAAACCCATCAAGGTGTTATTTTTCTCATCTTCTTATTTTCATATTTAGTATTGTTCTATTTTAATTTTTCACCATTAATTTCAATAAATTTCGTGCTAAAATGCTCTAAAAGATTCAAAAAATCAGCACTTCGTTTATAAAGACCTCCTTCAGATATATATATATATATATATATATATATATGTGTGGATTTAAACACTTTATTACAGTTTTTAGATGTAGTAGCGTTTATTGAATATATTAAGTTTATTGTATTTACATATTAACGTTTATTTGTAGATTAAGATTAATTAACTTTAAATGTGCAAAACACGTCTGCGCGTCGTGGTGTCTCGGTCGGACTGCCTCCTTTTTATTTGAATAACGTTCGTCGGCGTTGATTTTGCGCAATAAAAAGGATGGAATTCGTTCGCCACTTATTATATCGTCCGCCAAAGTCCGTCAACGTTATATATCGTCCGTCTTCGTCTGTACGTCATTATATGTACCCCCACATTCGCCCATCCTGCGTTCATTCGGCCTCGAATGATGGTTTCCATAGCTTGAGATACTCCGCGACAGTTGTGGTTCTTCGTGGACCTTCAGTATCTCCGATACGCTCCACCTCATACCTTCCATGATTTAAATATTTTATTATTTTGTAAGGACCTGAAAACTTTGGTCTCAGTTTCATACCAACTCCATATTGTGTTCTCATTATCGCTACTAAATCATTTATTCTAAAAATTGGATCTTGTTTCCTTTTCTTGTTAAAATTTCTACGATTTTCTTCCTGAATTTTTCCTATATTTTCTTTAGCGAGCTTTCGTACTTCATCCCTTTCAGTGTTCAATTCTGCTATGTCCGATTCTTCGATAAGTGCTCTAATGTCTGCTAAATCATCGACCCTCATTTCGCAACCTGTCAGTAATTTGAAGGGAGACACTTTTGTGCTTCGGGTGGCGTACTATTTATATATTGCTGAACCTTGTCTGTATATTTGTACCACATTGAAGGACTTTCGCTACTCATTTTGGCTAGCATTGGAACAATTATCCGATGCACTCTTTCAACTTGCCCATTCCCACGAGGCACACCGGTGGCAATAAGCAAATGTTGAATGTCAGATTCGGTACAATATTTTTTAAAAGCGTCACTAGTGACGGCTGTTCCCCTGTCTGTTATTACTCGCATTGGATTACCAAAGACGGCTGATTGTTTTTTCATTTTATCTATGACAACTTCCGCGCCACAATTTTTCGTCGGATAGAGCCAAGTAAATTTTGTGAATGCGTCAATTATAACTAATATGTACGAATAGTTTTTGTTTGTCGTCTGCAGTGGTCCCACGTGGTCTATATGTAACGTCAATAACGGCCTATCATCTTTGTATATTGGACTTAAGAAACCTTCCTTACGTCTCACTTTCGCATTTGTGACTATACATTCGATGCAAGTCTGTACAATTTTTGAAACCTTGTTACTTAATTTGGGAATGTAAAATGTTTTTTCAATGTAGTCTTGTGGCTTTTTTGCAGCAAAATGTCACTTCTGGTGTGCTTCCTTTATAATTTCATCTTCCATGGCTTCAGGAACTACTATCAACTCTTTATTAGGGTCTTTGAATAAAATATCGTGTTTCAAAAAATAATACTCATACTCTTCTTTAGCTACTATCTGTCTTACTGCTTTTACCCACTTGTCCGTCTGCTGCGCCCCCTTAAGCCTATGCTTTAATGAGTCTTCTATAAGCGTACAGTACATGCGGCTGAGGGCATCTACGTGCTTCATCTTCGACCCAGCGCGGTGATCTAAAACGTAGTCAAATTCTTGCAAGAATAAAGCCCATCTAGACACTCGAACTGGAACATCTTTCTTCTTCATTGTCATTGTGAAAGCGTTACAGTCGGTGACTATTTTGAAATTTTTACCTAAGACATATATTTTCCATTTTTTCAACGCATTTATTATGGCCAAAACTTCTAATTCATAAGAGTGATAGCACTCTTCTGCCGGTGATGTTTTTCGACTCATATATTGAACAGGATGCAAAGTTTGGTCGTCAATATCCTTTTGGAGGAGTACAGCTCCGTACCCATATTNGCCAAAACTTCTAATTCATAAGAGTGATACCACTCTTCTGCCGGTGATGTTTTTCGACTCATATATTGAACAGGATGCAAAGTTTGGTCGTCAATATCCTTTTGGAGGAGTACAGCTCCGTACCCATATTTGCAAGCATCTGTATGAATTTCTGAATAAGCATTGGGGTCGTATAGTTTTAAAACAGGTGCTTTGACTAGTGCCTCTTTAAGCTGCCTAAACGCTGCTGTCTCTTTGTCGCCCATTCGAAATCTCGCATCTTGTCTCAATAGGTCCGTCAAAGGTTTTGCTAGTAACGCATAGTTTTCTATAAAACGTCTGAAGTAGGAAGTAAGTCCGATAAATCGCTGCACTGTCTTTCTATCTTTAGGACATGGAAAGTTTGATACCGCTTCTGTTTTCTCTTCCATTCTCAATGTTATATCCTAAAAACTCCACCCTTCTTTGCAAAAATTGGCACTTTGACCACTTAAATTGTAACCCATTTTCAGCTGCTACTTTCAGAACAGTACATAATTTTTCTAACCCTTCATGCTCATCCTTAGCTGGGATAATAACATCATCCATGTAGACAATAAAGTATCCCGTGTGGATTAATGGCCTAAAGACTACGTTGATATACCTACAGAAAACAGATGGGGCATTTGAAAGGCCAAATGGTACAAAATTGTCCATTATGGGTTATAAAAGCAGTGTACTTCTTCGAATCCTCATGAATCGGTACATGGAAATATCCATTTTTTAGATCTAAAGTTGTATATGCTTTAGCTACTTGTAACCTATCTACCACATCGTCAATTAGTGCCATAGGAAATTTTCTCTAATAATCTTTTCATTAAGCCTACGGTAGTCGCAGCACAATCGCTTACTACCATCCTTTTTTGACACTAGCACTATTGGCGTTGCGTATTCAGATACACTGGGCTGTATGATTTTTTCATCGAGCCATTCTGAAATTTGCTTTTCAACAAAAGCCTGGTTTTCATACGACAGTCGTCTCGGCGCTTGGTATACCGGAAGTTCGTCTCGTAGTAAAATCTTCATTTCTACTTGCGGCTTTACTTTATTGGCCGGTACGTACTGATTTACTAATTCCCTTATTTCTTTGGCGAGATTCACAGGTAAGTGGTCTGTCTTAAGCTCTTGCAGCAGACCAACGTCTTCACAAACTGCATAAACCGTGTCTAGTTCCCTAATCCAACCCCCTTTGTTCACTTTTCTGTCCAAATTATCCATGTCAGATTTAGTTATCTTGTCTTTTTCAGTATCAACTCTTTTTGCTTTAAACTCCGCCTGTTCCTTAGTCACAATCAAATCTGCTACCTCTAATGCAACATTGCATATAATGACCGCGTAGCTAATGTCTTCATCTCTTATTAAATAAAATTTCAAATCAAGTACGATAAAATCCATTTCGATTTTTGTTTGAAAACTTCCAATCGTGTTAATTTTATAACCCCCGATTCCATACAATTCTTTCTGCTTTAGCTTAAACTGCACTTCCATGCCACTATTTTTTAATGTGCCATAACGCATAAGACACAGGTTACAGCCTGTATCAATCAAGGCGGAAAACTGAAAATTGTTTTCGCAAAATTTAACATTTTTGAACTTTAACTCACCCCAGTCATCTACTGTATTTGCCGTGTTTTGTTTTGGCTTCTGTTCCTTTTTAACGGATTTGCATTCAAACGATTTGTGCCCAAACTGGCTGCAATTAAAACATTTCACTTGCGAATGAGTACATTCTTTAGCCAAATGTGCCTCACTCCCACATCTAAAACATTTCCTTTCTTTCTTCACTTCATCATTCTTTCCTACTGTAGTGCCTGAAAACGGTTTGCTTTTCTGATTTTCCGTACCACGAACTTTTTCATATACCCGCATTTGCAGCTTTAACTCATTAATACTCCTTGCCTGATATAATATAGCCTTATTCACTCTCGAGTCAGCAATTCCTTCAATAAAATAATCTATAATACTCGCTTCGTCTAACTCAATTCGACCGCCTATTTCCATCAATGAGTAAAGATACTCTAATAAACTTTCATTTGCATATTTTTTTCTATTCCTCAACATTCTGTGGATGTCAGCTGCACATATCCGAGCATCAAATTCACTTATCAAAGCAATTTTAAGAGATGACCATGTTTGTATACTAAATTGACTGCGAATAAATAGTTTAGCGGCTCCTGACAATAATTGCTTCACATAAATGAATTTTTGTAGGTCACTCCATCCCACAACTTGAGAATTTTTCTCAAACTCTCTTAACCATTGATGTACATCAGGTCTACCTACTCCTCTAAACTGTGAAAGGCTATCAATTAAATCTTTAGGGTGAAACTGAGGTTGATGAACCACAACGCCGGGCCGCACTCTTCCATTGCCGACGTCCTCATATACCGACTGAACCGATTCACCATCACTATCATTCGCAGAATGGCCAAAATGTTGAAGCAGTCTGTCCTGCAATTCTTTTTTACGTCCGGTTGTCAGTAAACTAGCTTCTCGCAATTTTTCTTTCAATTGTTCAACTGTCAAGTCTAATATCTCTGTTCTTTCCATCTTGCAAATGTTGAAATACCAATGGATAAATTTCTTAAAATATGTATGTATGCTTAATTTAAAAATAAGACTTTTAATCGAAAACAAGAAAAATTGCAAACAAAAATATTAGACGACTAATTGTATCTATCTGCGTTATAGGGATAGTAAATACTGACTAAACAATTCAGATTTTATTAACTTCTAGGCCAATTACTTATTCTTCCTTGAAACTTTACTTGTTTGCTTTCACATTAAACATTTCATCTATAGTTATTTGTTTGTTTACAAATTTTGCATTTTGTAATAAAACGAAGAAGGATTGTTTTTCAATCGTTAACTTTATCATCCTCCTCTTACTTCTGTTTAATCATTCAACACCTTTAATAATTTCTGTTCATTAAATACGTACATACATATGTACATCAACTTCGATTACAAATTTCTCTTTTACTTATTTTGCTTCTGCATTGTTGTTTTACACTTCTCATTTTACAACACTTTGTTTCGACTCAGTATTTCTTGCTTTATACATTTTACACCAGCTTTATGAAATTCCCTAGCTTTTACTTCACATCATTTACTTTTTCCCTTTTCATCAACTATTCGTTTTGCTACATTTTGTTTTGATTAAGTAATTCCTCATTTACTACATTTCAATTTACCTTCACTCTTTTTCTAACCATTAGCGCAGTCCCTCTTTCGTTACATTTATTTTGCCTTCTTTACACACTAACTTCTTGAAGTTCTTTGTATGTACTTTACATGTATTTTATTCCTTTTTGCTTACACACTAACTTCATTAACTTCGTTACCTTTATAGATTTCTTGTTCGTATGTACATCTACTTCGATTCAGCGGCACTTATCCATTTCTTCGTCCACTACCATCCGCTACGCTGCAGCTTCGCAATAAAATTTTCCTCTGCCTTCTTCGTCTTCGCACTTCGTTGAGTTGATGCTCTACTGCGATTTCGACGTCGTATTTGCTCCGCACTTTCTGCTCTTTGAATTTCGTTGTTTAATTTTCGGCTCATTTGAATGTAACGTTTTTCGTTCGTGTACCCACTCGTTCTATTGCATCATCTTTTTCCCTTTTTCGATTTGCTTTTGCAATACCACTTTTATAAGCGATCGTTTTAATAAAGTACATATATATTTCTACTTCAATTTCCGTGCAAAATCTTAATCAGATTTTCATTTCTAATTAGCAAAGTTTAAATTGCAAATTTCTTCTTCAATAAATGTTTCATTTTTCACTCAGCGGGCGCGCAGGCTTTCCTCGCTTAGCCTTGATTTTTATAACTTCACTTCACACCGACCGACTCACCTTTGGTTGAGCCCCCAATTTGAGGATTTAAACACTTTATTACAGTTTTTAGATGTAGTAGTGTTTATTGAATATATTAAGTTTATTGTATTTACATATTAACGTTTATTTGTAGATTAAGATTAATTAATTTTAAATGTGCAAAACACGTCTGCGCGTCGTGGTGGCTCGGTCGGACTGCCTCCTTTTTATTTGAATAACGTTCGTCGGCGTCGATTTTGCGCAATAAAAAGGATGGAATTCGTTCGCCACTAATTATATCGTCCGTCAGCGTTAAATATCGTCCGTTTTCGTCTGTACGTCATTATATGTACCCCCACATATATATATATATATTAATGAAGGTAAATTATTGTCTTCCCCTTCACTCCTCCTGAAACCGAATTCCGCCAGACCCTTTTTCGACACAAGGTAACCTACAAAATTCTCCAGCCAATCAAACTCGATATCGTTAAGTGGTATTTTTGCAGCTTCCAAATGCGCAACTCATTTTTCATTTTATTATTTTTAAAAAATTATTTTATTTTGTCCTTTGTAGATCACATTCTTAAAAAAAAAAAATGTTTTTATAATTTTCAATCTGGTAGCCTGATTTCGTGAAAGTGTCATAACCTCAGCAAAAGTAAAATGGCTAACATGGCTGCTAATGTCATTAAGTGAAACTACCTTCATTTTTGTACCATGGTATTAGAGGTGGCCCCGTGATGCGGCAATTTGTATCAATTGCAAAATTTTTGTTAAAATTTGAAATTTTAATTCAAGAAATGTCAGCTTGCGTGTCAACCAAAAATGTGCATAATTTATTTGACCCGGAAATTTGCAATTGAATAATATCTGAATAATTTAGATTTAAGCAGTAAATGCCTTTCGTTATGGAAAAATCATTTAGTTGTCTAACTCCTGCTCCCCCAGTGTTCGCTCCGGAGGGGCGTGAGCGTTTAAAGCACGGACATTTGCATTTCTACCCCTATTGTTCGACGATCTGCTATTATTGCTCTTGTTTATTGTGAGAACAGCATTTTTTTCTATGAATCGGCATACTTTAAGCATTGTTGACGCTATTTCCTCATTCAAATGGAAATACTGACTTTATTTCCAAATTTTTGTTGACTTTATTTCGCTTTTGAAAAGGNGGGGCGTGAGCGTTTAAAGCACGGACATTTGCATTTCTACCCCTATTGTTCGACGATCTGCTATTATTGCTCTTGTTTATTGTGAGAACAGCATTTTTTTCTATGAATCGGCATACTTTAAGCATTGTTGACGCTATTTCCTCATTCAAATGGAAATACTGACTTTATTTCCAAATTTTTGTTGACTTTATTTCGCTTTTGAAAAGGTAATAATGTCAATTGACTTTATTTCGCACCAGCGGGGGAAATAAAGTCAATTGACCTTATTTCCAATGACCTTATAACCTGTCACCACGTGCAATATAATTTTATTATAACAAGTTACCAGCGAATCTTTGTATTTTTGAGTTTAACCGCGTATGTCGACAGTGGTCGATTCTGCGTAATTCGCTTAGTTATTTTAACGAAATCGGATTGGTATTCTATAAATTTAATTTCAAAATCTGACATAACCGATAACCTCAAAAAGTTCAAACACCGATAGTTACCACCGACTACCACTCACCGCACCCTTATGTCGAAAAAGAATATACATATGTGTTACTTACTGAGAAAATAGTCAAATATTATAGTCCGCTGAAAGTTTGGCATGAAATAAGGGGTATAGCCATCCAATAGGAAAGGGCTGTGGTTTTCTGTATGTGCTGTCTCACATGCAATATAAAATATGGTGTGTTTTCCAAACTTCTTTTTTTAATTAGGCAAAATAGTTTCTTTTTTTAATTTTGTAAATATGTGATGGACACATTACGACAAATAATGTTTTATGTACATATAAATATAGAGTTATAAATACATAAGTGTATATAAGATACTTGAAAAATTTTAGAAAAAGTTAAATTGTTATAAATTTTGGTCACTGACGGTTTCTGTAGAAAAATAAAAATCGTTAAGGTGGGCCATTCAAGTCAGGGGTTTGCGAATAATAATAGATATGGTAGTTTTTCGGTATAGAAATAGAATTATTGTCAGAAAAAAGTAGTTATTTACGTCACAGTTCTTTCTTCCGAAAAAACAAATCAAGAATTGGATTCAAATACGTAGCACAAAATTTAAAATTTTATTGAAAATTAGATGAAAGTATTTAAATTGAAATGTCATGAAAATATTTAAAGTTACACAATTCTAGCAAATACCCGGCGTCCTTCCCTGCGCCTTAAACGTATTTTTGTTTTGTTACTTCCTCTCACATATTTGTATAGTAGGGAGATTTTTCTTTCCAAATTAGATAAATATGTGTACTGTATTTGAATATTAAATTAATACACGTTTAAGGAAAGGGTGCGATAGTAGACTCCAGTTGCAAGACTATAAATTAAATTTCCAAGAGAAAGTCGGTACTTTACATATTTTCTAATTACATTCGTAAGATATTAACTAACACCCAATGTTTAGTATTAAGTCTCATCAACGGCTGATGTATCGTGTGACCCCATTCAAGATGGCATCACCACATCAATATTTCGATTTGTAGTTGTCGATTCTAGCTTTGGCTTGTTATCTCAAATAAAGGGACTTTTGTTCTCCACGTTGCTTCCGTAAGTTTGGATATCTTTTATTTTCTTGATACATTTTTGGTGCCTCCTGTGAGGACCTTACTTAGTTAAATTGTTAATTCGATATGGCTGAATTAAACCTACGTTTGGCGGCGAGCAATGCCATCCAAAAATCAGCAGAGAGAATAAGACTCAATGGTAAAATCTGGGACACGTGTCAATTAGAGCAGGAGCTGGCTGCCCTACGGTCCTACTTCACGAAATTTGAGGTTAATCATGACAAATTGGTTGCGATTGCCACCAAGGAGGAATTCGCTCTGCACGAAGATCTGTGGGATAAGGTAGAGGGCATCTACAATGAGGCAGTGGCATTGGTCTCGCGTCAATTGAAAGAAGCCACTTCATCGCCGCCCGCCTCATCGGTACAGGTTAGGGAGCAGCCGCAGTCTCAATTGAAACTGGATCCATTGGTGGTCCCCAGTTTCGATGGCCAACTACATAATTGGCTGGCATT